TTAAAAGAAGAATGTCATGTCTGGAAGTGAAGATAAGGTCCATTCTGTAGGGCTGACAGAGCTGTGAGCTGGAAGGAGCTAGATGGTCCGCTTCTGGATTTTTTTATGTGAGAGAAAAGAAAATCCTATCTTTATTTTTTACCCTGTTATATGGAGTCAAGCTTAATCCTGATGGCTATGCCATTTTGGAAATGAGAAAATTAGGGTACTAAAGTTAAGCACTTTGCCTGATGTTATAAAATTAATAAGAGGCAGAGACTTTTAACTCACCCACTCCAGAGCTCACATTACCCCTACAGTATGTTGTCTCTTACTGTACAGCTGAGGAAATGTGCATTCTCTTCACCAGTATTGGTTGTAGGCTGCCCCATGGAGGAGACTTTCCCTTCACAAGGTAGCCCTCTAATGAGAATTCTGAATGGGGCTGATGGCTGAGGGCTATCTGCTGGAGGAATAAGTCCTTCCTTCCTGAAAGGAGATCTGAGTGGCACATCATAGCACCCACCTCCTATACATGACATCAGACCTCCTCCTGTGCCTGTGGCCAAATTACTAGTTGAGCATAGCTTTCTTTCTCACTTATCCAGAGACACCTTCTTAATCTTTTTAAATGCAGCAATCCAGGCACTGTTACTAATTAACTGAAGTTGGCACACAGCCTACTAACCCTTTCCCTCTAGCTATCTAAAACCTGGTTGATGTGAGGGTAGAAAGGCCTGGACCCTTCTGACTCAGGAAAACTCTGGAATTGGGTGAGGCTTTCACTGAGACTGTGTAGCAGCCCAACATCTCCCTCTGTCCATTCTGTTTTCCTCCTTTCTCTCCCCATCTGAGAGTGGTGACCCAAGAACACCCCCTAAAAACCTTCTATCACTAATCTCCATCTCAGAGTCTGTTTCCTGGGGAACTTAACCTGCAACACCATGTCTTTATTCACTCATTAACTATTCTTAATTGAAGGAAGGTAATACATCTCAACATAAAGAAAACTCAGTTGTAGCTAAAATTCGTTTTGGTCTACCTAACACTCTGTTTCTTGGTATCTGACTGCCCATTGGCTACAAAGGCGTCTCCTATGCTGTGCAATCATAATACCTCACCTCTCATGGCTGTAAGTGGTGTGCACTTGATTAGGCTTGGACAACCAGAATCCTCCCCTGGTAATTTTTGTACTGATAGCTAGAAGACAGACCTCCCTTGCTTCTCAGATCATAGACTGGCAGGATACGATCCTGGGGATGCGGGGGCCATAGTTCCTGTCTACAAGGAAAAGGACCACCCAAAGTAGGACAGAATAAAGCCAAGCAGAGGGCAGAAACAGAAAGAATCAGTCCTGAAAGCCTTGAGTCCCCTATGGGCACCCCAGTGCCTGCTGCTCTTCCAATAAACTATCCTAGTATCCTTTTAATATATACATTTTAAATTAAATATTTTATTTTTTGCTTAAACCAATTTAGGTTGGGTTTATTTTCATTTGCAATGGAAAGAACCTGCCTACACATCTGTGTGTTTTATATTCCTATGATCTGCCACCTTCTCTAACCTAGTCTTACCCAATGTCCTAAATATTGAGGGATAAGTTAGAAAATAATCCCTCCTCTGCTCACCTCTAGCACATCAAATTTTTTATGAGTAGTATATTCCAAATAGTGTTTTGAACTTGAGAAAGGGTCAGGTTTATACAAGAGAAATAAATGACATGATTTCTGCCTTTGAAGAAAACTCCATCTAGCTCTGGCCGGTGTGGCTCAGTTGGTTGAGCCCTCATCTCATGCACCAGGAGGCTGCTGGTTTGATTCCCAGTTAGGGCACATGCCCAGGTTGTAGGCTCAATCCCCAGTGGGAGGCATGAAGGAGGCAGCCGATTGATATTTCTCCGCCCCCCGTCCCCCAGCTTCCTCTCTCTCGCTCTCTAAAAAAATAAAAAATAAAAAACATATTTTAAAAAAGAAAGAAAACTCCATCTAAATAGAAAAATTCTTATGATTCAACCATACTTGCCATTTATAATAGATGCTTACTTCTCAATTAAATCTTAAAATATTATTTCTCTATAACTATATTGCCTTTCTAGTTATAAGAATATATTTATGTCTATACTTGATAACCTAAAAGATATCCCCCAAAATAGGAACTGACTTTTAAAAATAATTTTACTTTAGAATAGTTTTAGAAATACAGAAAAATTGTGAAAACAGTACAGAATTCCCATGTATCCCACATCCCAGTCTCCCCCATTATCAACATCCTATATTAACATGTACATTTATGATAATCAATTAACCAATAATGATACATTATTATTAACTAAAGTCTATATTTTATTCAAATTATATTCCTATTTTATCAGGTTTCATTAATTTTTACCTAATGATCCTTTTCTGTTCTAGGATTTTATCTAGAATACCACATTACATTTATTAATTATGGCCTTTACCTTTCTTTTGGCTGTGAAAGGTTTTCAGATTTTCCTTGTGATGGTTTGTAGTATCACTGTCAACGTATTTTGTAGAATGCCCCTTAATTGGGATTTGTCTGATGTTTCTCTCATGATTAGACTAGGGTTATGAGTTTTGGGAAGGAAGACAGAATGCTACCTTCATCGCATCATTTGAAAGGTACATAATAACAACATGATTTCTGTTGTTGTTAACCTTAATCACCTTGCTTTAGGAGTTGACTTTTACTTCAATTTGTTTAATGCCTAACCCTGAACCATTTATAGGAAAGCATTTATACACTGTCTTGATAGTATCTGGATTGGGCTCATTAGTAGGAGGATTGGCTTGAAGAGATAACCAGTAAAATAGGAAAAAAAAATGTTCCCACTTAGGAGACATATGACTTTGTGTAAATTACTTCCACATCTATAAATTGGAATAATGGCACCAAATAGTTCTTTGAAGCATCTGATGAAAATAATGTATGTAAATGTCTTCTGTATTATACTTTCACATGTCAGAATCCTATATAAAAATGCAAACACTTTTTTTTTCAAATTATAAGAGAAAGTTTATTTAGAAAGTTACAGACATACTAGAAAGGCCCTTGGAGCTTAGGAGAAAGAAAGGCAGAGGTAATGCACCTGGGGGGAAGGTGAGGGGGAAGAGAACAGCGCTTTTGTGCTCGATAGAGGGAGAATGGGCGAAAAATGCAAACACTTTTGGAAAGAGTTACATCTTAAGCAGTTAACATCACTTTATAGATTAATTTTCAACAGCTGGCTAAGCAAAGCAAGGTCAATATGAAGTTAAGGAAAGGGTAGATGGGAAGGCTCATTATATTCAATGATTTCCCATTTCTGCCTTGCTCCCTTTTGCCAAAGTTGGCTCGTCGTTGAAGACTGAATGGGATTTCTTAGATCTTATGAAACCAGAGCAAAGGGATCAAGTTTGATATGAATTACATATTAATAATTTTGATGTTTTTTGTTTTTCTGTATCTTTGAGATGGAAGTTATCATGCTTTGAAGGTGCAATAATTCATCCAGGCTATTCTAGGACCATTAGGCAAGTATTATTATTATTTTAATCTTTATTGTTAAAAGCATTACATATGTCCCCTTTTCCCCCCATTGTCCTCTCCCAGCCTGCCCCCGCCCCGCCCCGCCCCCCCATTGTCTGTGTCTATTGGTTTTGTTTATATGCATATAAGTTCTTTGATTGATCTCTTACCACCACCACCACCACCCTTGCCCCACCGCCCCTCCGCCCGTCTCCCCTCTGAGGTTTGACGGTCTGTTCGATGATTCTATGTCTCTACAAGTACCTTTATTTTTTAAATGGATAGGAATCATAAAATACTCAAAGATGATGCCTTGCGCAAAATCCTACCACTCTGATTTGAATGAAAATACCAAAGTGCTTGCATTCTGGAGGTTCTTAATTTCTGGAAGTTTGCAATGGAAAGAACTTGCCTACACATCTGTGTATTTTATATTTTTAACCTAAGGTTTGAAAAATAAGGCAACTCCATTTTCTCCTTAAACAGGAATAGAGCCAATACTTTTTAAATGTTTATGCAAGGGCAAAGGAAATATGCAGACAAAAGAGGTGCGGGCTTTCTACATAATTAACGCTGAACATAGAGCAAGTTAGCTTGGTATAACGCAAAGAGCAATGTTAGAGACCACGGATCTGGATTGAACTCTATCTTAAACAAGACATGGGACTTTGTGAAAGTTCCTGGAACGCTTTTGTGTCTTGGATTTCTCATCTGTGAAACTGTGCGGTTGACAGGGCAATACGAAACCAGGCACGCAAAAACATTTTGTAAGAGAGCTGCTGTTTCTCATTTAGAATGTGTTGGCTGTCAGTAACACCATTAGTTATCATTCATCGAGGGCAGCTTCTGGACTCTGTTGGGAATCTCAGTCGGAAGCAAAAGCAGCAGTTGAAGAACAGAAGCCCACACATTCTTAAGTTCTTTCCGTTCGTGAAAGCAGTAACCTTGGAAACCGGGCTGGCACCATCCCGTTCAGTCATAAAGCTTAGTGTTTCTTGCTTTTCTCCGTCATGTTTGGGGTACCGCTATTTCATTGTCTTTTTGTTTTGTGTTCTCTCCATATCGTTAACACAAAGGAGATTTCCTTCTACTGAACCAAGTTCCAAACCTTCCTCGTCGCCCCTTCTGTCCGTAGCCCTCCCACCCTCTTCCCTGCGTCGCAGTTGCAGCCCCAAAAGTCCTCAAGGACCAACACTCCCCGGAGGGGCACTCCGAGACCCCGGGGAAAGGGAATGGAGCAGGTAGAAGCTGAAGGGGCTCCGACTCAGGTCCAAGAGCCAAGCCAAACCGCCAGAATTAACCCCAACACTCTCCCCACAGACACAGCCCTCGCGAGAGACGACCGCAATGGGCGAGAGAAGCCCACTTTCTCGCGAGAAGAGGGGGCGTCGGCGGAAACTAGGAAATTGGACCCCTAGGCGACCAACACCGCCGGTGGGCGGGGCCAGCGTCAAATCCACCCCCTTCCGGCTCCTTTCCCCGCCCCCTCGGCTGAGGTGTGGGGCCGAAGGTGCGGGCAGTTAGGTTCTGTAGGTTCCTCTCCGCGGGCGTGGGGTGGTGTTCGAAGCCTCCAGAACGCGTCCCGGCAGGATTTGAGGAGAGGGGGCGGGGAGGGGCTGGCGGCCCCGCCCCCTTCTCCGGCTCCCGGGCGGGCGAGCGCGCTGGACCGCCCGCTCCCTCTCCCGGCCCTGGGGCCGCGTCCCCTAGGCAACTCCGCTGCCTCGGCCTGAGCTTCTGCCGGCAGGTGTCGGCGGCGAGGCCCCCCCGCCCCCCACACCAGGCACAGCCCGGTTCGTCCCCATGGTGGGCTTCGGGGCCAACCGGCGGGCCGGCCGCCTGCCCTCCTTCGTGCTGGTGGTGCTGCTGGTGGTGATCGCGATCCTCGCCTTCAACTACTGGAGCATCTCCTCCCGCCACGTCCTGCTTCAGGAGGAGGTGGCCGAGCTGCAGGGCCAGGTCCAGCGCACCGAGGTGGCCCGCGGGCGCCTGGAGAAGCGCAATTCAGACCTCCTGCTCTTGGTGGACTCGCACAAGAAGCAGATGGACCAGAAGGAGGCCGACTACGGCCGCCTCAGCAGCCGACTGCAGGCCAGGGAGGGCCTGGGGAAGAGATGCGAGGATGACAAGGTAAGGACGGGTCCGCGCCGCTCAGCCCCCGTCGTTTCGGCTCCGAGGTGGGGGTGCCAGCCCAGGAGCGGCTGCCTCCTGCCTTCCAGGATTGCAGCCCCGGAAGCTCCCCTTTACCGCCAACAGCCCTGCTTCTGCCGGACTTTTACTGGTTTAATCACGGCCACATTCTCCAGCCCCTGCCCGAGGAAACTGTAAGTTCTGGTTCTCAGAGTGGCCTGCGGGCGGGTGCCGCCTTTTCTCCAGGCTCAGCTGCTGAGCTGGCAGTAGTAATCATCTGGCCTGTGTGGCCGCCTGACGTTCACAGATTCACAAATCCGGAGGCTGCCAGATTTGGTGTGGGTGTTGTTGCCTTATTCCGTGCACATTGATCAATATTAATTAATTTATTTAAAGAATGGGGCCTCCTCTAACTCTGCTTAGGGTAGTCACCATATATTTTTTAAGCCAGTATGACTTTTTATAAATTTCTATAGGACAATGTATGAAGTAGTTAAAGAATCAAATGTTAGCTGTCCTCTTTGTGATCAAAATGTTACGATAGGCTCTGACACTCTCTATGCACCACATTTGTGACTTGGACATAATTAATCCAAAGTTATGTACTTAATTTGAGTCATTAATGAAATTAACCTAAAAGGTAGAATTTAAAAATTTTCCTATGCAACAGAATCTTATGTCAGTGTTTTCATTGTTTTTGAAAGGATATAAAAATGAAATTTTGTATGCTTAAGTAGCTGCTATGGTTGGTGTTTTATGCAGATGGAAAGTCATACAAAGTTTAAATTTAAAAAGTTTAAAGCTGGACTGTAACTAGACCTGCTACTAAAGTCTTTGTTCTCATTAGCATATTGGAATTATATATTAATTTATGACTTATGCAATTTCTGGTGGTGTGGCAGAGTTGTAAAAATTTCTGGGTGGGCTCTAATGGTTTGGCTCAGTGGATAGAGCGTCAGCCTGCGGACTGAAGGGTCCCAGGTTCGATTCCGGTGCTGGCACATCCCCAGTAGGGAGTGTGCAGGAGGCAGCTGATCGATGTCTCTCTCTCATCGATGTTTCTAACTCTCTATCCCTCTCCCTTCTTTGTAAAAATCAATAAAATATATTTTAAAAAAATTTCTGGGTGGGATAAGTAGATGCTTTTCTTTCTGTATGCTTCTTTGGTAATCTTCATATTGGTTGTATGTGTGTCTGTGTGTGTGTGTGTGTGTATTCCTATTATAATTACAAGATTTTATTTTGTATATCAAAATCACTTATAGTAAATTGTTATAAGTTAAAATCTCCATGAGCTCCCAACTTCTTTATTGTCATGAGCTTCTACCTTCATAAAGATTGAGGCCCTTAGGTAAGTGCTTTTCTATAACCCCCTCCTCTTTACCACAACATAGACATCCTCTGAGAAGAGCAAGAGATCAGCAAATTTATACACATACTACACACACTGAGCTCTAAAGACAAAATTCTCTTGGGTGCAGTAGGCAGAAATCTATGAAATTTTGAAATATTTATTTATTTAATATATTTTTATTGATTTCACAGAGGAAGGGAGAGGGAAAGTGACATAGAAACATCAATAATGAGAGAGTCATTGATCAGCTGCCTCCTGCACACCCAACACTGGGGATCAAGCCACAACCTGGGCATGTGCCCTGACTTGGAGTCTAACCATGACCTCCTGGTTCAGAGGTAGACGCTCAATCACTGAGCCACGTTAGCTGGCTGGTAAATAAGATCTTCGGACTTGGATTTGTTAGGTATTACTATTAAAGTTCTTGTCTCCAATCTGAAAGGAAAGATAAGTCTTTTCTAATAATTTATACTCTGGATTCCGTTTCTTCTATCTACTGGACTGTAATGATCAGTTTAGTAGGTTTTCACTTTTACCTTCAAACAAATATAGGTATCCTGTTCTAAACATTTTTTTATTCCCCTATTTACTTCCTTCTCCCAATGAACCAATTTCTTTTTTTTTATTTTCTCTGCTAAACTCCAATTTTTAGTGGTCTGTAAATGTTTCAACTTCTTATTTCATCCCCATCTTAATCTTGTTTTATTCTGTCAGCCATCCTTCTTTTCTCCTTTTTTCTGAAACCATTCACTTGAAGGTCTTCCTAGTCAAATCCAAAAATCATTTTTATTTTCAATCTATTTAGTTTCTCAGTAATTTGGTCCTATTGATTATCTTTAGCTTCTTGGAAACTATCTCCCTTCTTCTATAATATTGAACTCTCCAGATTTGCCTCCTACCTTCTTTATTATATTCTTTGCTGGATTATTTTTTCCCCCTCCAATCACCTAATAATGGACTCTATTCATGGGCCTTGCTGTCTCTTTGGAGCAGCATTTCTAAAAGTGGTGTTTAACAGAGCACTGTCCTAGGAATTGTTAATAGGTGATCAGGAGGAAAAAAAGGAAAACCTCCTTTTTTTGGAGGGAAATGTTAAATAGTATAAGTGGTATATACTCTCCCTGGAGTTCATAATTGTTACATGCTGTTGACTCAGCGCTGACTCCTGGTGACCCTGTGAATGAGTGATGTCCACAATGCCCTGTCCTAGCTCCTGTGGACTCATGCCCATGGCTTCTTTTTTGGAGTCAATTTTCCTCAAACCTTACTTTCAGAGAGGCTGCATCACTCACTGCATCCAGTCAGAATTCCAGCTACCTTTGTCTCCCATTATCTCCTGGTCCAAACTTTGTTCCAAACTTGTTATTTTGCTTACTTTTGTCTCCCTACCTGCTTTTCTGTGTCAGTTAATTCCTGTTTCTGTAACCTTTGCTCCTGCCATTTGACTTGTAGCCTCTTGCCTCTTTTCTGTGCGTCTTACTACCAAGAGACTGTACCAATCTTTAGTTTCTGATCTGTATCCAACATGAAGTCCTTGGGACTTCTAACTGGAGCGTGCTTTTTCTTCTTTGTGCACAATTTACATTTATTGTTTGAGCCACAATAATTAGTTTTGTTCTTCATTTTTCACTAATAGCTTCTTATGTGCTAACCTTGTCTTCTCAACCCAATTTTAAGTTCCTTGAGGAAGGACCATTATTTAAGTTTTTTTCCTATGTGTTCTTAATAGTCTTTAGTAATGACGCAATGTTATGGGTTACTGAGTTAGGATGGGCCCTAATCCAATATCTTGAGTACTTATTAAGAAAACTTGGACACTGATACACAAAGACACACAGGGAAGAAGGCCATATAAAAATGGAGGCCTTGATTGGAGTGATGTATCTATAAGCCAAGGGATTGCCAACAACTCTTACAAGCTAAGAAAGAGGCAAGGAAGGGTCCCCCTCTAGAGACTTCAAGAGAGAGCGAGCATGGTCCTACAGATAACATAATTTTGGACTTCTAGCCTCCAAAATTGTGAGACAATAAATTTCAGTTGTGTTTTTTTTTGTTGTTGTTGTCGTCTTAATATATTTTTATTGATTTTAGAGAGGAAGGGAGAGAGAGATAAGAAACATCAATGAGAGAGAATCATTGATTGGCTGCCTCCTGCATGCCCCCTACTGGGGATCGAGGCTGCCACCTGGGCATGTGCCCTTGACTGGAATCAAACCCGGGACCCTTCAGTCCACAGGCTCTGAGCCAAACCAGCTAGGGCAATTTCAGTTGTTTTAAGGCACCAAATTAGTTTTGGCAACCCTAGGAAACTATACAAGATTCAATAGAAACTGCAGCA